GCATGTGAAAGTTGGACATTGAATGAGGAAGACTGTAAAGAATGGATGCGTTTGAATTGTGGTGCTGGAGTAGAATATTGAAAGTACCGTGGACTGCTAAAAGGACATCCTGATTTGTATTGGAAAAAGTAAGGCCAGAGTGTTCCTTCAAGGCAAGGATGGCAAGACTTGGTCTGACATACTTTGGACATATTGTCAGGAGAGACCAGTCCCCGGAGAAGGACAACATATTTGGTATAATGGAAGGGCAGCGTAAAAGAGGAAGTTCTTCAATGAGATGGATTGACACAGTGGCTGCATCAGTGGACTCAGGCATAGGGATGATTGTGATGACAGCACAGCACCATGCAGTGTCTCATTCTGACTTGATGGCACCTAACAACAACATTTCATTAGTTGTGCCTTCCCTAGTGGTGCCTGGAACAGAATAGCAACTTTTCAGTTAGTCCAGTCCTTTATATCAGGAACCTTGGCATTTGTGCCATATAAACTGCAGCTGCTATTATTGGAAATATCAGTGCTGGGGAAAATGTACGGTAGAGCTATGGCAGCATACAATCAGAATCTTAAAGCCTTGGATTCTGGCCTAAGCCCATTCTATCCACAGAAGAGAATTATATGCTCTTTGAATGATACTGGCCCATAAAATATATAAAATGTTTTACCATTGGACACCAAATGACCATGATTCCAGCACTACTGATTATAAATTTCATCCCACTTTGTAATAAAGGGGTCTGAAAATTGGCCCATGGCCATGGGATCCTGCTGTGCAGTAAATTGCTTCCCGTATATACTCATGTATAAGCCGAGTTTTTCAGGACATTTTTAATACAGTTTTTGTGGTAGGTGCCTCAGCTGATATTCAGGTAGGCTCTTACTTGCGTATATAGGTAATATGGCTGCTCCAAAAATAATCTGTGTAACTCCCACTGAATGACTTTTCCTTGATATGCCTTGGTAAGAGAACGTAACAGAAAATGCTGAAAAAAGTTCAGTTGTGAGTGAGTGATAACAGGGCTAAATATAATTGTAAAAACTTGGAACTCTAACGTGGGAATTGGTCAACTTTGCCATACTACTGGCTTTAAAATGAGCCATCTCAGAATCAGGAGAGGGGATTTCACTATCATGAAGAAAGAACTAGGAAAGAAGTGCATCCTTTGGACCCCCAAATCCTGGCACATTGAACCTCTTTTATCCAGAGGGATAAATTGGTGACATCAAAGAATTGACAGTACTACACTCAAGGGCTAGAACACAAGACAGAGTGTTATTTTTGGATTTAATTCCAAAAGGATGCTATCCTTTGCAAAGCAGTATATGCTTATTTACAGAGACTTTTTATACTGTTGTGCACTCAAAAAGGAAGAAGACATTACACAGCTTTTTGTTTCTTTTCCCAGCAACCCTTGACTCTATATCAGACCTTGTCCTCACAAGAAGACATGCCCTTGATGGGAGACACAGCAATAGTCCTACTGATGTATTTTTGGCAGGGTACCTTGAACTCCATGTGTCTAGGGACTAGCCAATGAAAACAGCCAACATACTGACAAAAGTAATTTAACCTGGTCAGTATGAGGAGAGAGAGCTGTTTTATGCCATGTGGGAAGAAAGATATATAGATGGAAGCTACACGATCATTTTGTACTTTTCTTGTTACTCCCTTGCCCAATTCTACTTGAAAATTTCCCCTCAAAAGAAGTCCCCCAAATAGTGGAGGAGCTGTTCTCTAAACATAAACAGATCTGTGAGAGATATTCATGGAAATTTGCTGCTCAGATAATACTTTGAACAATCCTGCTGTGAGAAGTGCAGTGCGTTGATAGCTGCTAGGTGCTTCTTATTTGAGATTCACCAGAGTATTTAAGTTTGGGATCACACCCTCCCCAGACTGTTCCCAGAGAAACATTGAGCATGGTGGGACCAGGTACTACTAAGGTCAGCGCATTTCTACCCAATTCAGACTCTTCTTTTTTTTTTTTTTTAACATTTTATCAGGGGCTCATACAACTGTTATCACAATCCATACACACATCAATTGTGTAAAGCGCATTTGTACATCGTTTCTCAAAACATTTTCTCTCCATTTAAACCCCCGACATTAGGTCCTCATTTTTCCCCTCCCTCCCCGCTCCCCCCTCCCGCGTGAGCCCTTGATAGTTTATAAATGGGTATTTTGTCATATCTTGCCCTGTCCGACGTCTCCCTTCATCCACTTTTCGGTTGTCTGTCCCCCAGGGAGGAGGTCACACACAGTTCCATGTAATCGGTTCCCTCTTTCCTACCCATTCTCCCTTTACCCTCCCTGTTTTGCCACTCACACCACTGGTCCTATAGGGCTCATCCGTCCTGGATTCCCTGTATTTTCAGTTCCTATCTGTACCATTGTACCATGACTCGAATTCTATCTTGCAAGACTGGCTAGACCAGAGGAGGTACAATGGTTCAGACTCTTCTAAAGAACAAACTTTGCCCTGGATTCTCATTGGCCTGGTTGAGACCTTCTCTGACCTGCAGTGAGATCTAAGGCTCTTCTTACCCAGTCCATTGTTCTTCCTTTTCTCCTTTCATAAGTCTGATCTGCATGGTAAGCTGAAAGCTCTCCCCCCTCCTTTTCTTACATCTCTCATTTATCCTGTACGAGTGTTTCTTTGAATATGTCTTTACACTTGTAATTCTGCCTTGGCATTTGATTCCTGAAAGATCTCTTAGGCTTTCAAAGGAGCATTTAAGGAGGAAGTGAACAGTGTAACTACCATTTATCAATATTTGGAAACATTTCAGGATTTTTCCCACTACTATAATTATCAGTGTGTATTGACTGAATTTCAGTAATGAGTCTAAAGTTCATGCCTGACTCTCACGCAATTATTAGGCTCTTTGTCGGCAATCATATTTATTTTGTGACTATCTTATTACAATCCCTTCAGAATTTCTGTACAAATAAAAGCAAATGCAAATATATTTTTATTTTCTTCTTCTTATAAGAAAATTTGCGGAGCCTCTGTGGCACAGCGGCTGACTCCTGACTCCTTGTGCTGTGAACGGCAAGGGCAGCTGTTCAAAACCTGGGGCCACTTCGGAGCCAGCAAGGTGATGTGAACCTTTTGAACCTCGAACTTTATTCTTCATCTGCAAGCAACATTGCAAACTAAGAACATCTGCTACACCAGTATATATGTCTGCACCTTATAGTTTCCCATTTCAATTTATCTTGAAGATCTCTCCATATAACTACACCAGAGAGCTTCCTGATCAATTTTTATATTACCATGTCATAGATAGTGCATAAGCTCTGTTACATATTCATCAATTAATATATTTATGGACAATTTTATTGTATCTAAGCCTTTCCTATTTATATTTTACATGTGTCGTTTTGATTATGTGTAAGATGAACATATCAGCTCAAAGGACACTTTGTTAAGAAAGGGATTTCTGAGAACAAACTACAAAATCAGATTGATGGAGGGAAGGAGGTCTTCATATATTTATCTATATGTAACTCTACCTATATATGTATAATCTATCGAACTATATCTTGAACCCTTCTATACCCCTATCCTGCCCCCAGGAAAGAATGTCACAAGCAGAATCATAGAAATATGTAAAATGATGAATAGATGTATGCTAGTCCTTCAATATTTGTAGTATTTTTTCATAAACTGAAAGGAAAAATATCTAAAGGCAAAGGGTTAAATTTATAGTAATTTTTATGTGTGCAGGATTTTGGTAGTGCTAATCTGTGAATCAAAAGTCCAGGGGTTCAAGCCTACATCTCCACAGGATAGATTAGCAGCAGTATGTTTCCATAAAAATTATAGCCTTGGAAACTCTAAGAGACAGTTCTACTGTTACCAGCAAGGCCACTATGAGTTGCACTCAGCAGCAGTGGGTTTTGGTTTGGGTAATTTTTGTGTATGGGGCCAAGGGGCTCTCTGACTTCATAGTTCTCTATTTTTACAGTTCTCTATAGTTTTCTATTTAAGAGTGTGAGAAAGCTATTTTCTTCCTTCCATTCTCTATCAATTTCAATTAAACATGATGAGGGCATCCAAAGGGAAATTGACAGATCCTTATGCAAATTTTTTAAGTTTCCAAAGTTGAAACTTTGATTCATGGAGTAAAATGCTACATTTTCTTTTTGCCTGAGTTATTCAAGTATGGAGTAAAATGCTACATTTTCTTTTTGCCTGAGTTGTTCAAGTATCTAAAAAAGTAAAGCATATACCTTTATATGTCACCATTATGATATATGCAACCTCACAGCCCCCCCAAAAACCCCAAACCGAAACAAAAAACAGTTTTCAGTACTCTTGGCAGAATCGTTTTTATTTATTCCAGTTCCACAGATGTAGAAATGCTCATTTGAGAGTAGCGAGCGTTTAATGTGGTAAGGCCAGTCTGTGAAACCATGTGCTCAAATGTCCTTTACAGCAGCTTCCAAATCCACTCAGCTTCAGGCTGAAGAATAAAGTAGAAAAGTGAAAAACAAAAGTAAAATTCTATTTGTCTACTATTTCTAGTTAGTCCCTGGCGTGTCGTGGACCACATCAAAGCACAGAATGTCACAGATAGAAAAGAACTTGGATATTTGAAAAATATTTTTTTTACAAACACAGACTCATGGACTTTACCCCAGATAAACTAAATCAAAGTCGGAAGAAAATCATATGAGGAAGATCAGCTCTGCCACACACGATCTTAATAAGATACAATTGATTCAATGGTACCTAACAACAGAAACAAATATATTTACATAGGGTGATTTACAACAGACACTAAAATCACTTAAAAGCCACTTTTCATAATACCTTATAATACCCCGAATGTTACCATTTGAAATTTATTCAGTTAGGTTTTGGCTTTGGAATGTTTCAATGCTACCATTGTAATGCAACTATTAATGGAAGAATAACAAAAACTGGGGTTTAAATAAATTAGTGAGAATTACGGTATGTTGACAACTCAGGAAATGGTAGTAGGCAATAAGATCTTTTTCTCATACAGGAAATATTTTCTGGAATGTAGAGAAAAGGGAACATTGCCTGAGAAAGGTAGATTCTAGAGATATTTTTTATCAACATCTGGAGACCAACTAGAAGACTTTACTGTCTTCTAGTTGGTCTCCAGATGTTGATAAAAAATATCTCTAGACAGAGAGAAGACTGAGGGAGAAGTAGAATAATTGCATGCTTAGTGCACATCAAAGAAGCACCATATCAACATTTATACAACAAAAATATCATTTTGAAAGTCGACATTTTTAAGTGCATCAAAATTATTAAATATAAAGCAGATCTTTGTTCAGCTTCTTTCCATTTATTTTATACCTTATTATTTCTTAGTATTTCAACACACATACTAGGAGAGGCTTACAACTTTTTTATTATTACTTTAATGGTCCTTAACTTCTCATCATATTTACACTGCCAATTTCCAATCCTATGTGCACCCCCTCCTATGGGGGACACCCCCCCCCCCCGGCAAGCACCCAACCACAACAAAATCCACTTTGCCCAGCACTTCTGGGTTGTGAATTCTGTTTCCTTCCTTAATTAACATCAACTTTTATGAAGAGGAAAGGAGATGAGATTGGAGGACAAAGGAAGTCAGATTATCTAGGGTCTTGGAAATTGCAAAGATTTTTTACATTTATTCTAAGTGAAATAATGAGCCATTACAGTTTTTTTGTTTGTTTGTTTGCTAGGTTTAACTTAATTTTAAATAAATTGTAATCAATTTTATTGTTTGGATTCCTGTAAAATGAAGTGCATCCATTTAAACTGTACAATTCAGTGAGTTTTGTTAGATACATACTCCTATCAAGCTACTCTCATAATCAAGACATAGACCATTTCAATTACTGATGAACTTTCCATGTGCCCTTTCATTTGGGGTTTTATGAAAGAGAGTGACAACATCTGGTTTAATTTTCCAATAGGATACTCTGGAGCATTGAAAATAGAGAGGAGGTAGCATCAGAAGTAGGAATATATTTTAAGAGTCTACTGTCGTAATCCAGGAGGAAGATGATAGTGCCGGGGGCCAAGGTGGTCGCAGTGTAATTAATGAGAACTCGTCATATCCTACTGATATATCTGAGGCAAAATCAGAAAAGTATCCAACAAGGGATATACTAAAAAAAGAAAGAAAGAAAAAATTCTTCTACTATATCCTTATTTTATTGGTGATCTAAATAGGAATGGTAGAGCATTAGTACTAAGCATGACTCTTTCTGTAAGGGTTTAATGAGGTGTCATCATGATAAGAACACTTTTTTATCATTGCTTGCTGAATACTTAGGAATATTTTTCATCAAATACGCAAAAAGAAAAGTCTACTTTTCTAATTTTGAAAAATACGTTGGATAGAGAATCATATAATCCAAAGCAAAGCCAAAGGAGAGGATAGTAGCAGAGCCTAAACTGTGAGATTCTGGTTTGCAGAAGGCTCTGGATGACAGTGGAAGTCCAAGATATACTTGTGAGAGCTACACAGGAATAAACCTCCGGTGATTTTCCTCTGTCCATAACGGAGGGATGGGAATAAACTGCTTAGCAAACAGAGTACCGGAGAGATGACTATAGGAGATCAAAATGAGAAACTTCACTTGAATGGATAAAACCTTGTCACTTGGTCCTCTTCTTTGATACATGTTGGGTTTGATATGGTTTCAACCTTTTCTCTGTGTGTGTGTGTGTGTGTGTGTGTGCTTCACATTGGGGTTTATCTTTAATGTATTTTGTCATTGTGGGCAGCCCTCTTTTATTTTTGTTATATGTTTCCCAGTATATGAAAACCAGGATTTGTGAACCTATAGAGACAACAAGTAGAATACGTTTTCCTGGGGGGCACAGTGGGGGAGGGAGGGAAAATGGGAGCTATCAAGGAGTCCAAGAAGGAAGGAAATGTTTGAAACTGATGGTAGTAGCAATTCTACAATACTGCTTGATGTGATTGAACTATGGAATAATTTATCTGCATTAGCACCCAATAAAATTGTTTTGGAAAAAAAGAGATGGAGTGTTTATGTAATATTTTTGGGTTCCTATTCCAGGACACCTGCGAAAATTGAGAAGACTTTAACTTATAGGTTTTTAGAGACTGTAAATTAGTATGGGAGCAGACAGCCTCATCTCTAGCTCTGAGTGACTAGAGATGGGTTTGAACTGTCAGCCCTTCAGCTAGCAGCACAACACCTAATCCACGAGTCAGTATTACATTCTGTGTACATGGTGTTTCTCTGAGTCAGAATCTGCTAGATGGAACCTAACAACAACATTTAAGAAGAATACTTGTAGCAGTGTGGGCTAGAGATTGGGATGCTATTCAAACTTACCAATGGTTCTATGGGAGCAAGGTGAGGCTCTCTGCTACCATAAGGATTTACAGTCCCAGAAACCCTACATAGGGTTGTTTTGAGATAGAACTGAAACACAAGACATTTTAGTTTCCTGTAAGAAAAGTTTAAGTTATTTGGCCAAGACAAATAAACAACAAAGGCATGCAACCATGTATCTGTACTGTTTAGCATATTGTCCAACAGAATTATTTTGAAAGGAATATTTTCAGATACATGAAATAAAAGAGTGAAAATGTACTATTTCAGTGAATACCACAAAGTTAATGAACTTAACAAAGTCAATCAGTCCAGGCAATATAATTATTTCTACATCTTGAAAATGTCCTGGGTTCAGTGGTGAAGAACATTATTTGTTCTCTGACCTTGATGATCTTCAATCTTGTTGGAAACAACATTAAAATTAACCAAAAAATACTGTCATAAATATTATAATGTTTTGAAGCTATGTTGAGCTTTGAAGGAGATAACTGGAAAAGAAGGGAAGACCAAATGTCGAAAAAGGTGAACACTATAAATGAAGGCATAAAGGTAGTCATAACAGGAATAAAGTCATATTTTATAGTGACTTAGCATTTATAATACACATTTGACAGTGGGTTTTATTCTTGTGTTTTGTCTTTTTTTTTTTGTCTCACCGGAGCCTCAGAACAGTTTTTAACATTAGCAGCTTATCCCCATTTGAAGATGACTTGACCCAAACACACACATAAAAACACATAGACACATACACCCACACACAAATGCTAGTTAATGGTATACTTAAATCTCAGATTTATTTATCCTGAAACCCAGCAACGTAGAAATTTCTTGAATGTAGGGTACAGCAAATGATAGTTTGGACGATGAAACAATTATATGGCTATAAAATTTAAAGTACCTACAGAGAAGTGAAAATTGAAGCAAATTAATAGAATAATAGGCCCATAGATTATGTAGAGAAAAATGGAGGCTCAAGAGCTGAAAATCACCTTGAATTGGAAGTGGAGGAGAATGTGGAAGAAATGGAGCTAGAGAAATAGCAGTGGGAAGGAGAATTGTGAAAGTGAACATTCAGGAACTCGGAATGGATCATAAAGTTCCAATATAGCTAGGAGAGCATAATGGAATGAAGATGGTGGGGAAGACGTGGCATTTTGGGAAAGGTCATGATAACGCACCATTAAAAGAATACTTTTAAAAGCACCAGAGAAAAGAGCAGTGGAAGGAGAACTAGAGAGTATAGATACTGCCCAAAAGTAAAAATAACATTGAAAATGACAAAGGTATCTAATACAAAAACCGAAAATAACAATAGAACTATATGAAGAAGCTAGAAGAAATGAGGATAGTGTAAATGAACTAAATTATTTACAAGACAGAAAAACAATAGGAAATGTCTAGAATTGAAAAGTAGACATATAAAGATGTTATTTAAAATTATGAAGGTAATAAATAAAGTCTAATGGCCCACCAGGTTAGAACTTCTCCCATGAATACAAGACAAAACACAAAGTTCAATAGCATCTGATGACTCTAGAAATTTTGATAATTATTATTTTCAGTTTACTCTTTTTGAGAGATTCTGTTGGATTGACTCAATTTTAATTAAAAATAAGGTTGTTATTTTATACATTCATATACACATACTCATACACATTTGAAGGTGAGGAGGGAAGGCTTACCATGTGCTTATGTTTTTCTGTTTCTATGAGTCCTTACATTATACTGCTACTGAAAAGTCTCTTCATAAAACCAGTGAGATCTCTTCATTATTCATAAATCCTTCATAAATATCTAATTTAACAAATTAAAACTACAGCACGTTAAACATAAAAACTAAAACCAGGAAATGATCGTGTCAAAAAAAATAACCCCTGATGTGCGTGGGTTTGGACTGATGGCAGGTCCGATCCGCGGGCCTCTCGTCGTGTCCCATGCCAGAGCAAACGGGAACCACGAACCACTGAGCGGCTTTACCCGTGGGCTTCAGACACGGAAGCAGGTTGCATAGCGAAAAGAAGAAGAAGAAACAAATAACCCCTGATGTTGTGATTATGTAGTGTAAACATATTTCTAGAATATTTTGAAAAACTCAAAAAATCAAAGTGGTGCCCAAGAAGAATTCCTCTATCACTTGTTTTGGGATTTCCATAGATAATATTTTCCATTCTATATAATCATTAATTTGTATAATTCAATTTTATATTCCAATTAAATACTGCTAACTCACTGAAAAGCAATGGAATATTGCTAGCTGACTGAAAGCCAACACCAATTTCAGTTTAGTCTGATCAATTTCTCCTCACAAGAACCCTAAAAACCAGGGTAGAACTGCCCCAACTGACTTCCAAGGAACTACTCTGTATGGAAGCCAGCACCACAACCGGGGGGTTCAAACTGCCAATCTTTCTGTTAGCAGCCCAGCATGTTCCCTACTGTACCAGCAGTTACTCCTTACCTCACTAGGGTTTTGAAAGGAAGCAGAAGGGAATAGATTGCCTTTTCCTTTCTTATTACTGGGTTTGGGTTTTTGTTGTTGCTGTTGTTGTTAAAAATGGTGTAAAATAAAAATTTGAACGGAAAACAAAACACCCTCACATAACACTTTACCTTTCTCCCTTCATCAGTAGAATATAATTGTGTCTTCGTTTATGGTGGAGAATCAGGCTAGCTTTGCAAACTTGTTCCATGTTCATTTTCTTGATTTGGGAGTAGAAACAGAACTGACCCTGAAACACGCATTAACCTTGTTGCTGTGAGATGTAGGACTCTGATAGGATGAGGGAAGCTAAAAATAGTTCAAAGAGCCAATGCTAAAAGGTATCTAAAACTCATTAAGTATGCTTATATATTCTGCACACGCAATGGAGGACCAATATATCTCCTTTATAGACATTCACCTTTCCCTTCCAAAATGCCTTTATGTTCACTAAACAGCCTTTTGCTCACTTTATTTTCATAAGGCAAGAGGAGAAAGGGGATATCAGAAGGTCCGTTATTGTTATGTAATCTGCAACCATTTAGAAATACCAACTTATCAACCAGCTAGGTGCTGATTTGAAACTGGGGACAGGGCAATGAAAAAATAGACTTAGCTCACTTCCTGTGTGTGTGATTTGCCTTCTGATGGTGAAATACTTAAACAAAAGAAAATGCTTTTTCAATTCTATAACATACATTTATTTAAAGAAATATAAATTCTCTAAAGAAAATTCAAGTAGAACACA